AGCAAACTGGATGTCAGAACAAACCATGGAAATTACCAAGAAGAGAAGAGAAGCCAAAGCCAAGAAAGACAACAATCTCAGAAAGAAATTTAACGAGTTTCAGAGAGCTGTTACAAGAGACAAGAAGCAGTATTACAACAACATCTATAAAGTCTTTGAACATGGAAACAGACATGGAAAAAGAAGGAAAATCTTTCAAAAGAACTCTGAATTCAGAAGGAAGTTCCAACCTCAAATTGGTACAGGCAGTCCTCAGGTTATGATAGCAATTGGATCTGGAATTTCTGTTGCTAAGCAAGGTGGTCATAAAACGTGATGTCACATGACCACATCACTTAGCAATGGCAATCCCAGCAGTCCTGGTTGCCATTGTAACCCCAGGATTCAGCAGAATCTCTAGCTAGCAAATGAACTTGAAACACTCATGCTTTTTTGCCAGCAAGATTCAATGAACAGTGGCTCTTCTGCTATGGGCTTCAGTCCTTCATTCTCCATGACTGTTAATAAAAAGCAGCTTGACTGGCCCCACAAGGCTCAAAATATCTAAATGGGGTGGTGGTCATCATCTGAGTCAAGGCAGTTATAAATTCTTTCTCAGGAGCAGGAGTGGTTTCTGCTTCATTAAAGGAGACCATAGCAAGACTACTCCTGGAAAAGAAAGTAAGTGGAGCCAGAAGTTATTATTAGCTGTCAGTGGCCAACTTCTCCTTCCTGGGCAAGATCTTCAAGCAGCTAGGGGCTTTCTCTATCCAGACGCTCTCACATGAAACAGATTTTCCAGATTCATTTCAGCTGGGGCTTAGCCTGATTTCAGAACAGAAACTGCCTTGGTTGCCCTACTGCATGAACTTTGCTAGGATACCCACGCAGAGAAATGCTTATAACGTTAGATTTCCAGATAAATCTGCGTCGTCCCTGAAATTAATTCCCCTGACGAGGTGGCTGGGTGCCCTTAAGGCTGGCCACTCCCTCTTCTCAGGAGATTAAGGGATTTCGCAGCGATTCAGCCACGACGGGGGTAAAGCGCTCCAGATACCCTCCCTGAAAAGTCGCAGTGCGGGAAAAGGAGGAACCGCTCTCCCCCGGGCGGCTAGTGCGGTGGGGGGGAGGCTGAATTTAAGCACAGGAGCGGAGCCGACTCACGTTGTAAGTGTGGAAGCTCCTGCCCACCGCGGCGACCAGATAGAATTCGCGGTGGCGGCGATGGTAGCGCAGCACGTGCGCCAGATGATTGCAGTAGAGCCCGAGCGCGCGGAAGCCGGCAAAGAGCGCGCTGCCTCTGCCTCCGCTGGGCTCCGCCGGGTCAGTAGCACCAGCCACCGACATCCCCCAGCCCTCTACGGCGCCGATCAACGGCCCCAACCACGTTTTCTAGAGAAGCTCAACAATCCGCTGTCGGAGAGAGTTCCGGAAATGCTCTCGGTTACTTCCGGCGTGCTCATGGCTAGCTCCGTACGCAAAAGCGGGTCGCCTTACTTCGCTGGTTAACTTCAGGGGCTCTTTAGTTCCGCGTGCTGTGAAGTCCGCTTCTTCCAAGTCTTGGGATTGGTGTACAGTATTTGCTTTTCTTCCCGCTATGTGCGCACTACAGCCCTTTCATATATTCATTAAGCTTTTATTCAGAATAAACGGGCAAGCCGGCCTACGGATTACTGGGGAAACACACACTATCACGGTCTTTTAAAAAATAATTGCGATTATTATTTCACACAATTTTTAGGAGCTATATTAAGAAACTTTTAGGAGCTGTAATTAAGGAATTTCCTGAGAACGAACTCCCCCAAATTCGATATAGATCAGCCTTAAGCATCCACCTATCCCTGCATAACACAAAAGTTTCTTTGGTGGGTTTCCCCTCCTTTTACAATTTCCATGTAGGTTGATACACAGCATACAAGTGTGACAAAAATTACTTAGGATTTTTTTTTGTATTGTCACTTTTCTATCTTAAAATGTTGGACTACATTGTATTCCATGAGAAGATTAATTTTTCAATATTATTAGTTGCCAGGAAGAAGGAGCAGAACAGTAATCTCAAACCTTTTGGGCTGTAGCACTTTGGGGATTTTGAAAACATGATGCAGGTCACAAGATACTCATTTATCAGTGTGAGAAATGCTAAAAAGAAGAAATAGTTATTAGTGACAAAAAGGTAGCTTTTATTTGACCGACATTAACAAGGAA